AGGGGACTCCCCCTCTCGAGAAATCCAGCTCCGAGTCATTCGATGGCAATTTATTAATATTTAATAAGCCTCGCGTTCTGAGCTCTTCATCGTGTGGGTGGCTTTCGATGTGGGCACATTCTTCGCATCCCATTGAAGACTGTCGCGGTGTGTGGTTCTTCCCACCTCGGAGTCTCTTGGCTTGTTTTCTTCCCCCTCCACAGAAAACAGCAGCCAGTCGGGCTCTTCTTTTCTTTGATCTGAGCGGTTTGTTTATGTTGCATAAGCAATTTGCATTTGAAACTGGAAGAAAATTAGAGTAGTCTTTTTTAAAAAAATAGTATAAACATACCTACTTATAATATTTTAAATATAAAATAAACCAATTAAATATATTTTTTCTTTTAATAAGATTGTATCCTTATAAATAATGTATTTCTTCAATTAAGAAATAGTTTTCCCTTTTCATTAGATAAATTTCTTGTACAAATTTTGTTTGACTTTTAATAAATGTTTATAATTTTAATTTGTATTGAATACACCATCACCTGATTTTCCAGCATGTACCAATTAACTGTCGCAACTTTATCATCGACAGCAGCAACAATTGCCGCTGCAAGTTGAGCTCATAAATTTTGACAGCAAACGGAACGCGTGTTAATAATAATTTCAATTGCTCCGCCAGCATTTGATGTTCTCCGCCGTTCGGGGGATGCCGCAGAATCCGTCAGCCAGGATGTGGTTTACACCGAAGATCGTTAATCTCTTGCTTCGCCTTTGGATTGGATAGGATGAAATGGGATGGAATGGGATCGGATTGGGGTGCTCCTCTAGCACATTTGATGTGGCAATTACCATGTGGCAGGAAACAGTCGTGCGGCCAAAACAAATGTATCTGCATACGGATCTCAGCCATTTGTATCTGTATCTGCACCGGAGCATCGCAGCATCAGAGTATCTGAGTATCGGAGCATCGGATCATCTGAGCCCATCTGCATCTCGGAAACTCGGACTTGGTCCCCAGTTCGTGGCAACAGTGGGCGTGCATCATTGGCAATTTTACCATATTATCAACGCATCTGTGAGCCGACAAAGTGTTTTCAACGCTTTCGGTAGTTGCTGCTTGAGAATGTGGCTGTTGCTCTTGCCGCTGCGACTGTTGCTAGTTGCTGTGTTGCTGGTTGCAAGTTGCTGCTTGCTGGTGGCTGGCTGCTGCAGCTGGTAGGCGTTGCCGGAGCTGCGAGCCCGTTTCGATCCCGATTCGATTAATTTTCGCATTAAGCTCGGCACAGCTCCGCCCTGGACATGGCCAAAAGGATTTGCTTTGCCTACACTCAGCCAAAAAGGGAACAATATTAAATAAAATATTTAACAAACAGAAAACCCATCCAGACAAATTTCCCAACATTTTTAAAATAATAAAATAAAAACATTACCATTTTCAACAATTATGAACACCATAATAATTACACAAGCGCTGATAATTGTAGATTAAAAAATTAGTAATTAAGACTTATTTGTATGAAAGTTAATAGAGGCTTCCCTATATACTTTTTCTATTTTTTATTTATGTTTCCAAATTGAATGATTTTTCTTTGTTGGATTTGAAAGCTAGCACTCTAGTTCTTCAATAAATCTTAAAGATTCTTTCGCAAAGTGCACGATTTTTCGCAGTTGTGGGCGCGGTAATGAAATCAAATTAGGCAGAGATCTCGTTGCTGGCGGCGTAATTGATTCGGTCCGCTCGTCTGCGACTCCCTCGCCCAAGGATAATTGCCGGTGTCCTTGGCTTTTGGGTCGCACCTGCCTTCGGGTGACACGCTCCGCTCGCACTTCGCCTACTTTATTTCTGCCGATCGGCTCAAGGATGCCATAACGGCCATAAAACACAATTGTTCGCAATTATTATTTTTCTGTTTGCCTTGGCGCAAAGGATTAGGACTGCAGAATGGAAACTCGAAAAAAAAACAAAACAATTCGCTACGCAATTTGTATGCAACAATAACAGGAGGAGAAAAAAGCGATCCGAACACACATGTTGTTTCGATTTCGGGCGGCAATAAAATTGATATATCCTTTGGCACAATATGGCCGCCATGTGCATTTAGATGGCCATGTCCTGGCGGCTTAGTTTCCGCATTTTTTCCACCGCCACCCGCTTATTGGCCATTTGGTGCACGTAGGCAAAAGGAGCAAACGCAAGGAAAATAGTGAAATTTCCCAAATAAAAACTAATAGCCGTTGGGAAAGGGCTCCATTCTGCGGCTTTCCGTAAGCGACTTTGCCGTAATCCCGTCAAAGCGTAAACAAAATAGGAATAGGTTATAGGAAATCTGTTCCATCCAACGAGAATCGCAATGGCTGCTGGAGATACGTAGTTGATTGGCTTTTCCGCTCGGTTCCAATATTTTCCTGCATCGCTCGAGTTTCTTATTTCTTTCCCTGGGATTAGTCATGGATTTTTGCAATGTTGTTCATAAATAACTTTGAAGTGCTTTGTTTTGATTTTTGGAATTCTGTGCGACATGCAGCGAAATTATGCAAATATCTTGAGATGCAATTTAGAAGCTTTATTTTAAATAAAGAAAACTAGATGGTTTGATGTATCCTTCAATCACTGTCTATTCATTCTTCGGTAAAAAAATCATACAAACGCTATAAAAACTCCCCTTTACTTTTGATAAATGTCTAAATTTCTCAATTAACTCGAAACGCATTTCCACACTTTACCAACTTCATTAGCTCAGGGATTTCCACGAAATTTTGTTGGAAACTATTTAAAGAAACGGCTATTAGGAGAACACGCCCTCTTAATTTCATTAAATCAAATTCAAATGGCCGAAACCAACCCAAAACGAAAACAAAAACAAAGCGATTGCAATTTTTCACTCCCCCTGAAAAATAAATATTCAAAAAAAGGAGCAGGAGCGGAAGGAATAGAAACCGGGGGAAACCAGGGAAAAAAACCTGGAAAGTTGAAAAAATATGGTGGCATATGCAAATGAGATTTCAGGGCAGGAAACAAATCATTGAAAAATTGTCACCGAGCCGCGACAAAGCAAACAAAGCGAGCTGAGGGCCACCCCGTCTGAATGCCTCTCCTGTCTGCCGAGTACTCCAGATACCACGCTCCCCCTCCACCGATCTGGCCACCATCAACATCACCATTAGTGGCTCAATTGTGCGCCACATCGGCTGGCAACCACGAATCGCATGCAAATGAAACCGCAGCCACAAAAACAGCGGTTACAGTTGGAAAAACGTTATTGAAAAAAAGAGAACGTATATTTAAATTTGTAATTATAAAACTTATTTTATAGAAAAATACTTTTATGAATGTTAAGCCAAAAAGAATGCATTTTTCAAAACTATGATTTATTTTAAACTTGATATAGTAAAACAAATTTTAATACATTTTTAGCTAAATAATTTTTCTCAGTGTTGGGAAAAAAGGACATCATCCTGGGAGGACGAAGGGCGCAGCTGACGAATTGTGAAAAAAGTCTGACGGAGGGAAACAAGATGGTGGCACCGCCCGAACCCCGCCCGCCCCTTCCCCTCATCAGTTCCCTCTTTTTCCCCGTGTCTATAATTTTCTGCTGCGTTCACACGCCATCGTCGCATTTTTTTCCCGACCATCTTTTGTTGTTTCCTTTGAGCAAACATTTAAATTAAAAACATTTACATACGCTGGTGGGCGGGAGAAAAACTGGGTGGAGTGACAGGAACCCAGATATTCAATTATGATTTTCAATTGGAGGACTGAGCTCACGAGACACTTTCTCAGATAAGTCCTGTCGCAGGATAAGGGAAGCGGTGCTCAGAGCAAAAGGGTCGATGGTCTCCTTCGAAAGTTTAAAAAATTATAGGGTAACGATGAAAACTGGTAAATTTAAAGGGAGTAGGTAAATACAAATTTGGAAGAGAAAAGTGTACATATAATAGAAATTCTAGTTAAAATTTTGATAAAAATATGAGGGTAACTGCGGGACAACCCTTTTCCCCAAGTTTCATCGAATTTTAAAAAAAGATGTCGGGTTAAAGTAAAACCCGAATTGTTTTCGAATAATTTAACTAAATACACAAATACTGACCGTTTATTTTAACTTAAAGCAAACCCCACTAAATATTTACTCTCAAAACCCAAACAACTCACTCAACCCGCTTTTCACTCAATTGGTTGTGGTGAGTAACGTCAGTGAAACGCAGTGGAATCGGACTGAGTTGAGAAGAATCGTAAATAGTCGACGAAAAGCGGTGAGCACACCCCCTCCCCAAACAACCAACAAAACACTCACACACTGGCACTCACCATGGCAACAACAACAAACATCGAAAGAACTGTCAACAGCCAAAAACAAAATGACGAATTTATGAACTTCCCAACGCGCTCTCTTTTCCTCTTCCTCTCAGCCTGCGGAGCGAAAGGGATGGCAGCAAAAAACGCTCTCCACTCAACTGGGCAAACATCTGGTTGTCTCGCTCTGGTACATGTCGGGCTTATGAATTGGTTTAGTTTTGAGTGCATGGGAATGTGTGTTCGAATTGGAAAATGGAAATGAGTTATGCCCTGACGTTGGCGTCGCTGCCGGCAGCATGGGAATGTGTTGCTCGTACGGCCATCTCACTTGCACCTCTCTAATTGAAAAACGTTATTATTTTCCATTCGTTTTGCGGTTTGAGTTGCGGTTTGCTTACGAAACGTAAGAAAAGTTTCGTGTTTTATTCTCTGGAAATGTGGAAGTGCGAGAGAATTACGTTGGGCGTTACGTTTTCGTTACGTGGTGTTGAAAACCTTTCGCCGTAAGACACATCAGCTGTTGTTGTTTCTGTTTTGGGGGTCAGTCGACGTCGCAGTCGGCGTCGCTGCCGACGTCCTCGTATTTGTTGTTGATTTTTGCGTTGCGTTTTTGTTGTTGTTTTCCTTTTGTTGGCTTTGTTGTTTTTTGGCTTTGGCTTTGGCGCTTTTGGCGTTTACATGGCAAAAAGCGAATTGGGATTCATTCAATGGTCAGCTGCGTGACTGTGAAGCAGCGACGGCGCTCCGGAATTTCCCGTTTCCACCTCGAAAGTACGCAAAATACGAAAAAACACGGAAAGCACGGAGAACCGGAGACCCGCAAAAACGGGCGTAAAGTCGTCAACTCGCAAAGTGTTTTCAAAAAAGCGTTAACAACATAAGACGTTGTAAAAAAAACTTGCAATGTTGGAAAAAAATAACCCACATTTGCATAATTTATTAAGTGGAAAATGGGAACGCAACTTAAAATAGAAATTTAAAAATTTGTTAAAAATCATCTGCAGAAATGCCGGCAAATGTCAAATCACAAAACTGAAAAAAATTGTAAGACTTACAGCTTGAGTGTTAAATTCTGTATAAATCTTTAGAATTAGAGTACCAAAAAACTAAAAACACAAAGTGAGCAAAGATTCATAACAAAATTGCAATACAACTTCTAAAATATCTTGATTAAAATTTTAAAACAAATTTCTAAAAATAAAAGTTACAAGATAAAAAAGCTAGTAAAATGTTAAGATCTTAACGAAGAGTTTTAAACGATTAAAAAGCTTAACACCAATGAACACAAGAGGAAAACCTTGAGAGCCACCCAGAAGACCCTAGAGAAAATCCCCGAAACTCCGTGGAGGGAAAACACTGAAAATCTCAGCCCGAAAATGCTTTTGAGCAACCAGCCGGCGAATACGAAACCGCAGCAAACGCCTTCGCCGTCGCAGACGCAGAACTTCAAGTCGAAGTTGCAGCAGCAAATCGTTTCGGCAGCGGCGGTGGCAGCGGCGAATATCGCCAACGGCAGCGGTCATCATCACCAGCATCATCATAGCCATCATACCCACAGTCCGCTGAGCAGTCTGAACGGCCACCACAATCATAATCACAATCAGCACAACATTTCCTTCGCCACGGATTTCTCAATTGCGGCGATTATGGCGCGCGGCGGAAACGCCCCGAGCAGCCGGGAACCTTCGGAGCGGAGTCTGAGTGAGTAAAGTAATTCCCGATCCCAAAGTCAACCCCATCTCCCCCAACTAAATATAGACAGATGTAAATAGATGCCAATCCATTTTATCTTGGGTTTTTTGGCAGACTTTCAGCAAAGGAAAATAAAGAAATCGGGGAAGAACTAAAGAACAACAAGTATCTTCATTCTGATATTCATTCATGAATTCCTTTTCATTCGATTATAGTTCAGACATCAGTTTGGGTTCTTAACTACAAACTAGTTTCACTTTATTATCATATTCAATATTCTTTTGATTGCGTATAATAAATGGTCTGTGCAAAAGGTTGAAAAGAATATAAAATTGGCATATCACACATGTTGATGTTTATGCCAAGTTACGGGCTTGTCTGATGATTTAACCTTATCTTTTTACGAGCCAATAAAGCACGAGCTGTGGATAGCTTATAATGCCTATTTATCTATAGAAATACCAAAAGGATTTAAACATTTATGATAATGCAAAAGGTAGTTAAAAATCTAAGTTTGTTAATCAGCTGACAAACAAAACAAAAAGGTACGCTTTTCAAAATTTAATTAAATTATAGGTCCTACAGAAGAAATAATATATTTGGATTGGCTGATGCATAAACTCATTTAATCGATTGCCTAGTAATGATTACCCATCCTCTTTAGTTCGGCCTTTTAAAAAAGTGTCGCAGCTGCATTGTATTTCTATATTCCCCGTAGTTTTTTCCCCTTTTTTCTGCCATATAAATTATATATTGATGACAATGCAACGTTGATGACTTGATAATTGCGGCAAATGCGCGGCAATAAAATAATCAAAGCCTATTTGAATGCACGGGTGGTTGGGAAATGTACATGACAAGCGCGGCACAGATATATATAATCGCATATATACCCTGAATGCGAAACTATTTAGATGCCATAATTGGGTAGAGACAGAAGCGCAAACAGATGCATTCATTAGTGTGAAACCCCCTCCCCCTCCCCCTTTATGCACACCATTTTGCAATTGACATTGGCAATGCCGGCGCACAAATACAAATGCAATTCAAAAGCGAAATTAACATATGAAATTGCATTTTGAGCAAATAATTGAATTTTTGGCGTAATCTGTAAATGCATCTGGTCGCGAACTGGATTCTCGCTGCTATTGCTGTTGCGCCTCGTCATCGACAACATGCAACATGTTGCAGCCCCAGCAGCAACTCCCACATTAACGAGCCGCTCTGATGTCTCTTTTTTCTATATACACTTAAAATAAAAGGGAAATATCTATTTTAATAAAAAAGTTATGTCTTTAAAGTAATCATACTTTTAAATTAGAGAGGAAAGTTGTGAAAATTCGATTCTTCTTAAGATGATAACCATTTTTGCGATTTTCATTCCATATCGAATACTTATTTCCATCTTCTTTTTTCTGGACGTGTAGGTCCCGCATCTGTGGAGCGCTTTTCAGGCCAGGATGCGGACGATGATGTTGACGTTGATGTGGTCGACTGCAGTGACTCGGAAATGCCGACGGCAACTGCAGCAGCAGCAGCAGCAACGGCAACAGCAGCGGCTGCAGCAGCAGCATTGCAGGCGCAGCAGCAAGCACGTCAGGCATTGCGTGTTGCACAGCAACAGCAACAAACATCACCACGCAACAGCAAACAAGCAACAACGCCAACATCACAATCATCACAGCAGCAACACCAACAGCAATAGCAACAGCAACAGCAATAGCAACATCAGCAACTCAGGCAACAGCAACAGCAAATCAAGCAGCCATCGAGGGCGTTCTGCTGCCGCAGTTGGAGCCGCTGCCACGCCCTCGCCGCCACCGCCCCCGCCCTCGCAAAGTCCCGAGGAACTCGAACGCCTGTCGCCAGAGGAATCGCCAGCTCAGGTAAGGATACACCAAAAGAAATAATTTATAAAGAAAAGGATCTAAATACTACATTAAATAATTGTCTGAAATATAAATGGTACTTGATTTTGAATAATAGTAACATGAGATCTTAAGATATTGAATCGCAATTTCGTCTTAAGAATAAAATTCACTTTAAATTTTTTATCAAATTTTTATTCCTGTGCACATATCAGCAACAAAGTGAACAGAAATGTAAACCCATCTTCCATCTCCTCGAGCCTTCTACTAAAATCTCCTCTTTATTTTCTCCTCCTTTTCTGCGATTGCCACGCCCACAGCAGCCCACGCCCAAGATACTGGGCTCGTGCAACTGCGACGATCTCACGCCAGTCCAGTGCCACCTGGAGACCAAGGAGCTGTGGGATAAGTTCCATGAATTGGGCACTGAAATGATCATTACCAAATCGGGCAGGTGAGTGCCACGGCGGTAACATAAATGCATAAATTAAGGGGTTTACGCCTAGTTAAGTGGGTTGGAAAAAGGGGGAAGAGCATTCCATTCATTGAATGCAAATTATGAATGATTTTAACCAGAAATTAGAAAGATACCTGTACCAATATACCAAAAATTCAACAGTAACAAATATTGTTGAGTAATTTTTGGTTACCAAATACACATTAAATAACAGACTTTCATAAAATCAATATATAAACGTGTTGTCCGAATTTATTGTTTAATTTAATTTACAAATTTCCTTAATTATTAATAACATATTTTTCGATTGCACTTTAAAGTTTGGGCAACCAATTAAGCTCAACATTTCCGAGCAATTTGGAAACTTCACTTATCGATACATACGCTCATTGAAGGAAATTTCCCGATAATCGATCACATTTTGGTTTTGGCCCCGCAACATGCATTTTTTTCATTAAACATTCGTTGGAATTCAATTTGCCGGCGGTGAGAGAGAGGCGTGGAAGGGGGAGTAGCAGGGGCAGTCCGGGTCATAACCATAATGCCGCCCCCGGCAATCGGCCACCAATCAAGTGGCCCACGAAAAGTCCTCGACCGAGGCACAATCAATAAAACTTTAATGCGCCTTTCACCCGTGGAAAAACAAAGCTCACAACTCCCAGCTCACGTTGGCTACAAGCTATCGGCCACGCCCCCTCAACGCCCCACCGCCTTAACTGGAAAGTATCAACAACTTTTCGTTTAGTTCCTTATTTATATCAAGAAATTTTGATTGACAAGGCATCGAAATAATTTGCGTCGATTTTCGATTAGCAGAAAAAAAGGCCACCGTTTCGTCAGCTGTTTTGGCCGGAGAAAATATATACATACGGAGTGTATATCCCCCAAATCCAAACATACATACTCACATAAAAATACCGGGTTAAACGACTTTTCATTCGCAACTCAACAAAAGTTGAGGGAATTATTGCCCGGCGATATTTTCGATTCTCGTGCGAAAGTTGTTGGTGGGTCGAAGGGGGAATCGAAATGCGAATAAAAACGAAACATGAACATGAAACATAACAGTTTGGGGCAAAGAACTTTTGCTTTTTGTGTTTTGTTTCTTTATTTTTTGCTGCCCACCTCCTTCTCTCTCCCCAATAACATGCGAAATGCGCATTAGTCGCTAGGTGGTAGTTAGGATCTCCCCTCTTTTGTTAGTTGATTTTTTCGGGCTTGCTCCTGGTGAGATAAGGTATGATATGATAGCTGGGAATGATAACTTAGGAATATCACAATTTTAATATTTTGTGATAATCAGAAAAATTTATTACAATCTTTAATAGAAGTTTTTTTATATTTAATAAATTCGGGTTAATTTTTTATAAATAGTTTTACTAAGCGGTTTTTAAAATTATGGATTTAATCTAAATCTAATCTTATACATGTATATGTAGAGAAGCTCTTCAAAAATGATTCCTTTAAATTTAAATTAAATAAATCTTAAGTTCATACCTAAGTATACCTTAGTATTAGGTACTCCATAGTCGGAACCTAAGCCCCCTTAGACTGTTAATCTTTTTTATACCTTTGCTACTGTTTCCTTCCTTTTTGCTTGGCAACTTTTGTTTGTTTGTCCTCTGTGTTGCTTAACCCTTTGGTGGCCGTCAACAGGCGGCCCCACTGAGCAATGTGCCAAGCCCCCTTTCCCCCCTCGGTGCGCATTTAGGACACATTAACAAATTTACTCCTTTCGGAGCGCCACAGTGCCCCGCATTTTGGGTCCTCAGCCAGTGGTGATCCACAGCAAGTATAAATTGCATTGTAATAGCTGCCGATTGTCGCGCTAACAACACATTTGCATGTCCTTTGGCTTCCGGGACATTTGGGCCCTGGCCTCGTGTTTTTGCGCTTCTGTTTCTGTATTTTTTCGGCCCTGTAATTAGTCAAAGGATACCGATGAACGGCCGACACTTATTTACATTTGTGCGGGTTTTGACGGACGCATGCAATACGATTGCAAAAAAAGTGGCTAAAAAACAAAAAACAAACAAAAAAGCTGGCGGTAGAAACAGAAGCAGAAGCCGAAGCAGTGGCAGTGGAATAATTCCCATTCCGAGCGATATCCATCTATGTCAGCACATCGTTTGCTAGCTAAACATGTCCACGAAAGGGGCGGGCCTGTTGGCTAAGTGGGTGTGGCACTGCGGGACTTTTTTATGTGAATGATACATTTTAAATTGCAAAAATACGACTGGGGGATTTAGCTCTGAACGCGACTCGATGGCATGACTTGCTGCAGTCAGTCATGGCGAATATAGTTTGGTAACGGTAAACATACTGAAACAGGTCGTTTTTTGAATACAGGAAATCAGCGATGAAACGATCGAGTAATTCCAATCAACTGTAATAAATGGTCTTCAAAAATTTTACTTTTTACATACAGTTTTAAAATACTTTTCGAATGAAAATTCGGTATCTCAATTTGGTTATGTAAACGTATTATTTTTCTTAACATTCGAAGGGTTTTCCTGTTTTTAACCCATTTGAACATTTGCAGCTGGGAAAATGTCTTCTCCACATGCAAATGCGCATGCGTGGCTCTCGTCAGAAGGAAACCGTGAAAAGCGGACAACGACCGCCGCAAATTGCCAACACATTTGAAACCCGAAAAAAACTGAAAGACTTTTCGTATGATTTACGGCCAGAGACAAAACAAAAAGGAGTCAAAGCCAGAGCGTTAGAATTTTTTACCTGTTACGTGGTCAGGTTGGGATGGCTTCCTTTGTGCGTGCGGTTGTTCAAATAAAATATCACGTGGTTTGCGATTTTGTCACGCTGTCAGCGGTTTTGAGGTTGGCATTTTTGAGCGAACAAAACAAAGCCGGAAAAGTCAGCAGTCGGGATGGCTAATTGTTTGTTGAGCCATCGAAAATACCCGGAGTTTGTCAATATTTTGCGACAAACTCTTCACGCATATTAGCCGAGATCCATTCCGCCGCAGGACATTTAAGGACAGTAGCCCGACTTCGGAGGATGCGTTGCAATTGCAATTTCCATGGTGCAACCCCTTGCAGGCCAAGCCAATTTTCCCCGTCTCTCTCTCTCAGGAGTTTTTAAAAACATTTTCCACGACTTCATTAATATTGCTGGGCAGCTGAATTGGCCATTCGACTTCGAAACAAGTTAATCCCCTTCGGAAGGAAAGGTGCAGTGTGCGAGTTATGAATTAATCAACTAATAAAAGTCAGGGAAACGGGGGGCAGTGTTGTCAGCCGGCGATAAGATCAAAGTTATAGTTTTCTTGTCTTTTTCGGGGGTTGCTTTTTAGTTTCGCTTTGTTCGCCTACTCGCTGGCTAATTTGCATTTTATTAATTTAGACCTTGCGGCTTAATTTGCTGTAACAAAGGTGTTGATAATGAATTGGTGTTCCTACATATTCGTCCACACTAATTGAAAGCCGAGCAACCCCATGGCAAATGGTGTGTAAACTTCATAATTGTAACCTTTGGCACCTAAGCTCTCGCCGCGGTCCGAAAAAAAACTGAGTAAGAGCCATTTCCCTAATTTTCCCATAAACAAATACATAAAATCCACACTTAGAAGCTCGGCCAGCGGGCGAACTAAACTCGGAAAACCCCCCACGAAAAAAATACAAAAAAATGAAATGAAAGAGAAGTTGGCAGGGGAGTGGCTTTTTGCTTTGGCTGCCCTCGGGCGGCTCTTCAAATCGTAAAATGTATGTAAATGCTGGAATATGATTTACGACATTTCCGCCCAGCAGCAAAAACACCACAAAAAACCATAGAAAAACGGGGGCGGCATTCGATATGGCACATCAAAACTGGGCGTGGCCATCGCTCGACTTTCACACATTTATGGATCACATTAGCAGGTCAGTCAAGCCAGCAGAAAAGTGTTAACAATCCAATCGTTGCTAGGAAAAACAAGGTCGAAATTATTATAACTATTTTACTAAACAAAAAAATAATTATTGAAAAAATTATTGATAAAAATAAATTCCTTTTTCGTAATCGAATGAAATAAAAATCTAAATTTAATCTGTTGTGAGACTTCAAGTTGTAACTAAAACAAAATTTAAAACCTAACATTTTTTCAAGGAACCAGAACATTTACCTTTTGATTTCTACTTTTTAATGCACAAAAAAATAGAGCTTTAAATTGTTTTTTTTCCACTGCATAATTTGTAGCCTGAACTTCTTAGGAAATTCCTTACACTTCGTTTCGGGGGTAGGAACAAAATGGGAGCTTCCGGTCTGGCGGCTTCCGTTCTTGGATTTTGGCGGTCAGGCTCGGGTGAAGTCAGTCAGTGGTTCCGCAGGTCCGTGCAGATATCGAGATAAGCGGAACACGTTAAGTGAGCGCTACAATGGTGCTAATTGTGGCATGCAACTGCGAGTGCAACTGAAAACTGCTTACAGCACAAATCACAATTACAGACCGTGATTCGGATTCGTTTTGGCCTGGTAACTGCGATAAATACGCGGCCACAACGGTTAGTCGCTGGCTAAAACAATCATGGTGACACTGAACCCGCCCCTTACAATAATGGGCTGTAAACACAGCTCGAACAAACAAGAGTTGCAAGTGGAGTTGGGTAAAGGAGAGTTGTGGAAATTGTACTAGAATGAAAATCTTCCATTAGACCTACTTAAAAAGGTACAAAGTGAATTTGCGTGTCTGGCAGCGAAAGTCCTTTCTGAAATGATTATGTAAACATTTCAACTAAGTTAATCCTTTCAACTTTGGGTAGGGAGATTTAAAACCTACTACTTAAAATTAAATATTTTTGTAGATTCTTTGCCTACTTCTTATTTAAATACAACCACCATTGAATTGCAACCCGAATATAAATACCATTTTGTTAAACAAATGCTGCACAATTAGCTTACCAAAGCCACTGAAAGCAAATCAATTATAATTAACCAACCCAGAATATCGGGTTCATGTTCTGTATTTTATTGTAGGCATTCGGCAAGACAAATGACAAAAAACTGGGCTGGGTCATTAGCGTCATTTACACTTACCTGCGACCACAAACACGTTTTTGCGGGGGTTGAGTGGGTGGCCAGTGGGTGGTGCGGTACACACCTCCTTCCGCCCCCCGCTGAGCGGAAGGTCCTGCCTTCAGGACGACGACATCGCTTGCGGAAATGTGTCAAAAACGTGCTAAAAGTCATAAAATTAAATATGCGTCTTATTTACATACCACGGCGAGCTCACCACCTTCGCTTTTCTTTTTGTTTTTAGTTGCCGCTCCACAATGGCGGGCAATAAAAAAATAGTTTACGATTTTCTTGTTTTTTTTTTTTGTATGAGTTTCCTTGGGTTGACTAACTTGTTCCAATTTCCTGGGTGTACCTTTATGGTAACTATTTTTGAATATTATTCGAAATGTATTTTTAGAGGAATCTTAAGTCTTTTAAAAATAAGTATAATAATACTATCACATTTTGTTCTATACAATTTTAGACGTATGTTCCCCACGGTTCGAGTGAGTTTCTCTGGTCCCTTGAGGCAAATTCAACCGGCGGATCGATATGCCGTACTGTTAGATGTCGTACCGCTGGATTCGCGGCGCTATCGATACGCATACCATCGCAGCTCGTGGCTGGTGGCCGGAAAGGCGGATCCACCGCCCCCCGCCAGAATATACGCCCATCCTGATTGTCCTCTCAGTCCGGAGGCCCTGAGAAAACAGGTCGTCTCCTTCGAAAAGGTGAAGTTGACAAACAACGAGATGGACAAGAGCGGACAGGTGAGTCGAAGCATGTTGATTCGGGGGACAGGATAACAGGAAAACAGGATGAGAGTTGGGGAAAGAAAAGCTTGGTTGGAAAAATCAGTGGAAAAAATGTTAGACCTTTAACTTTAACCAAATTAAATAGTTAGATTTTGCTAAAATAAAAGTGCAAAAATTTTTTAATTTAGACAGCAGTACCTTATTGTGTTTCCGTCTTTAAAATATTTATAAAATTTAAAAACTTAAAAAACTAAATTATAAGGATATAATTTTCTTGAAAACCTTTTTTTGGTACCCCAACTTCTTTCATATCAGGATTCAGTTTTGAATAATTTAGGCCGAGAGACAAACACATAAACTGGCGGCTGTCTTGCCATTGTCTTCCGATGCGGCGAGGTCAAAAGGGGTCAGCCAGGGTTGCCAGCGAGTGCACATATGCAAATGGCATTGCGCGCGCACAAAAATGAATGAAAATTGTTGGCAATTTGGTGGCAAATACGAGCCGGCTAAGGATCCCCTGTTCACATGCATACTATATATACTTTTGGGGATTTTCGAGCCTGCTACCGTTTTTATCACCGCCATAAATGCCGCAGATGTGAGTGGAGGAGTGAACCGGGGGACAAGACGCTGCGAGGACAGTCAAAACAAACGTCGACTACTTTTTTATGGACGTACATTTTTTATACGGCCGGAACACACAGCAAACAACAAACAATTCGCATTCAGGGAATCTCACTCTTATTTCCCGAACCTCCTTTGCAGGTCGTGCTGAACTCAATGCACCGCTACCAGCCAAGGATCCACTTGGTGCGTCTGAGCCATGGCCAGAGCATCCCCGGCAATCCCAAGGAGCTGCAGGATATGGACCATAAAACCTTCGTTTTCCCGGAGACCGTGTTCACGGCCGTGACGGCCTATCAGAATCAATTGATTACGAAACTGAAAATCGATTCGAATCCGTTTGCGAAGGGATTTCGCGATTCGTCGCGTCTCAGCGACTTTGATAGGTAAGTTTTTTTACCCCTCTTAAATCTGAAGAGCAAAGGAGCTGTAGTTGGCCCCGTTTCGCATTTTATGGGGTCATGTCTGATTTATGGCCTAATTTACGATGGCCTGTTGAGCCGTAAAGCCGATACAGTAGCCCAACTTGCCGCTGATTAGCGAAAATGTGTGAAAGTGCCAGTCTGCCCAGCGATTTCTGCCGGCTCTTCACCTTCAATTAGCATGCAACGTGCAACACCGGCTATCAATCGAATCGAACTTATATGATTATATGGCAGAAGTTGGAGTGTTATGAAGTTTACAATCTTAAAATATAAAAGCAGTTTAACTCAGAGATATATATTTGTTTTAGAGGTAATTAGTTACCATCAAAAATTATATTAAAAATATTTTACTTTGTAACATAGAGTACAATCCAATTTATTGCTTAATGTAATGCATACCATTTAATTTCGATCATTTGCTAAATGTTACTTGCAACATTTCTGCACTCGTGCAACAATATCTTCCGACCAGCAACATGTTGCTCTACTCCTGACAGGATTGGGCCAAAGGCAACCTTTTTACCAGCATTTCTGAGGGCTGCTGCCCTTTTTTCGACAGCGACTTCAAAGTGTTGCAAGGCGGCGACTATTAAGACGGCAAATGCTCTGCCGCCAGCAGCAACACGGCCGCAGCAGCAGCAGCAGCAGCAGCAACAGCAACAGCACACTGGCAACAGCAACAGCAACAACAACAGCAGCAACACCAAGAGCAATGTTGCTGTTGTAGAAGGCACGGCGGCGGCTTAAGTGGCGTAAATTACAGATCGGCGCTTTTAACTTTGAAGCCGATTCGTACATGAAATGAAAACACGAAAATAATGAGTGAATGTGGCTCTTGTTGCTGTTGTTACTGGTGTTGTTGTTCCTGTAGTTTAGTGTCGGCAATTGGCAGTTACTTTCGACGTAATTATGTTATTGCTCCGGCTGAAGTGGAGGCAGCAACAAGTTGCTCATCGGGTTCTGACACTCCGAGTTCTCCATATCGAACTCCTCCGAAGTTGGAATTGTCTGCAGCTCGAACTTAATGGAGTGGCAATGGCTTTTTCGAGAATTAATTCTACCATACCAGCATGGAATCAAAACTCAGCAGAAAACATTTCATTAAACCATTTTTCTAGTCTAGTGCGGTTGTAACACAACCCACTTCTTCGCCAAATTAAATCACATTATAATATGGCATTCCTTCAAACCTTTGTAATCGGTCTCTTGAACAAACTGTATTTGAAATAAAAAAAAAATAGTTTTTTTTTAAGATGGTATTTGTCTGTAATATCTAATCACCTCATTTTCCCATATATTATATTTTAGGGATCCCATGGATGCGTTCTTCTTCGACCAGCACATGCGAACAGCGCCCTTGAGATTTTTCCCGGATCCGCTGATGTCGCAACTGACGCCGCAGGAGGCGGATGCTGCCTCATTGGCGCTGCTGGAGAAAGCCCGCCAGCACCTGCAAATGTTCGGCAGATCACCGTACACGGAGATGCTGCTGCCGCACTTGTACCAGCGATCGGCGGCACCGCCGCCGCCCCCGCCTGCCCCTCACCTCAGCGCCTTTCAGCTGGGAATGTGGCAGCAACAGTGGCCGCAACTCACGGCCGGATTCCTGGCCAGCGCCAATCAGCAGGCGGCCTTGGCCTTGGCAGCGGCGGGCGCCAATCGAACGCCACCTCCTCCGATGGCGGTGGCGCCACCAGCCCCCGCCACGCCCACCTCCTCGTGCGGTTCCGCCTCGCCGGACTTGAGGGCCAGGCCGCAGCTGAGTCACTATCCCCAGCGGTTCAGCCCGTACCAGGTGCCCCAACATCAGGCGTCGCCACCAGCCTCGAATCGGGCAGAAAGTCCTTAGGACGCAAACAATAACAAACCAACTAAACCACCCAAAACACCACCCATTTCCCTCTTTGCCCCACCCAAATAAATAGGCTGTTGTGGTCTTTAAGTCTGTAACAAATTTATAAAGTCCTAATAGTAAAACATGTAACATAAAACTATTAGCAATCAATCAAAATACATAATTAATTAATTGATAATTCGACTTTTTTCATGTGCAATAAATTCATTTCTAAGCTTTTAAACGTTAAAAAATAGTTTTGAATGTGCCGTTTTTATACTTCTTATTCAAACCTTTAATTTTGTACTAAAAACAATATTTATTAGATTTAAAGACCACACCAGAATATCAAAGAAATGTATGTGCAATGTTGTTGAACAGAAAAAAAAAACAAACGAAAAAGAAAACCCTTTGTAAATAACCCCGAAAATGTTGCTGCAACATCCAAAGAAAGACGCATTCGATGTTGCATGTGATGCTAAGCTAGAAAACCGTCTCTATCGGTTTCACTGTATTGTAATTTCTGTAGCATTATAACAGTATTAGTTAATTTAATTAGGCCTAGCAGTATGCATCATCCCGATTTTTGCTGTGTTTTTTGTTGTCGTCCCCATGTGTTCCTAAAACTGCAAATTATTGTGAGAATTCCACGCTGAATTAAACCCCCTAGACACTCCCCTCCCCGAAAGCAAATTTGAAAACAATTACTATAAACACTTATTTAAATAATGTGCAAAGAGCGGAGGAGTGAAACTAAATAAACAATTTATAACACAAAGCGAGAGGCGTTTATTTATATTTATTAGTACTTGGATTTAAACTGGCAAACTGCAAGCATGCAATTGCAATGGCCAATGGACAACAAATGTTTTCGAAAACATGGCCAGCGATTAATAACGTTAATGCTGCTGCTGGTGGGTGGGGTTGCACGTTGCTGGTTGCTGGTTGCTAGTTGCTGGTTGCTAGTTGCGAGTTGCTAGTTGCCGGTCGGAAGCAACCTGCAACACGTGATGCGCAGTCGCGCATGGCCACTGACATTTGGGAACGGCAATGAAATATAATTTATAGAATTTTGTGCTCTTTATGAAAGTCTAATTAATTACTAGTCCGTGTTTTAGTCCATGTTTCTGGCGATGCCGCCGCCTATTAAAGGGTTGCATGCCATCAACAATGGATGCAGTTGCACGCGACATGCGTCATCAATTTCTAATGATGTATGTCTGCTCCACCGACGTTTGTTATTAATTTCTGCTGGGCCGCTCTTACACGGCCATTAACATTTTAAAGTGTTGTTTGTCGGAAAGGGTTCCACATCGCGACTATATCCACAGATAAATGGGTAGTGAACATTGTCGGAGTTGTTTTGCGACGCGAATTTGAGTGGGTTTTAATTTGTGAATATATAAACTATCAATTTAAATGGCTGTAACGATAATTGAAAATTATCAGGCAAAAAAAGGGGTAAAACGATTGTTGGGGTAGTTGAAGTTAAATTATATTTATTGGGTAGCAAGCCATTTCCTTTATTTAATTCCATATAAAACATATATATATTTATCTAATATTTTCTTTAACCGAACCCCTAACTTTTCTCACACTTGACAATATATATCTTCCTAATCACTCTGTCAATCGCCGCTAATCACCTATCAGACACATACTCAATCAGGTGAAACACATGGACACAACATTTAATAACTTAATTTTCTTGCCCATAGGCCAAGCGGCAAATATTCAAATGGGCCTCAGAAAAGAGGGTCAAAACGAGACACAGGTTGGCTGAGGAGGGGGTTGGACCAGCAGTTAAATATGGCTTATATAAACTCGGAGCGGAGGCTTTTTACCTAACCGATAACTAACCAATAATTATACACTCTGAAGCTTACAATTAAAAAATCGTTTTTAACCAACGAGCCGAACTTTCCCAATGTCTCAATTTAGGGAGTTGAGGTTGGCGGTTAAAAAGCTGTGAGAAAGTGTCATATTGTTATGAAAAATAAATGAAATTGTTCCTAACACTAATTATAAGTTGAAAAAGTTCAGTTAATTACACAAGGGGGAAAATTAATAAGTAATTTGTCGCACTGATTGGAGGAACTCAAAGTTACCACATTTCAATCCCCATAAAAATTGTGTTAGCCAACAGAATTTATCACATTTTTGTCCACTGATACAGCTGTCCATAAAAATGGTTTTATCTTGCTTTACAAAGCGTTACAACGTTTTTATTTCCATTTTAACCACAGAAAAACGTAACCATTTCGGGATGTACCACAGACACGTTGAATTTTCTCACTCACTGCGACAAAGTCGTACACAAATTATCTCGCCACTAAAAATTTGCCTAATTTCCAACATAAATATGAAGCAACTTATCTCGAGCGACCGATCTCTCTGGCGGCACAACCTTAACATTATATTTCCCGACTAATTTTTTCTGTGTTCTTGGGCACGGGACAGGAACAGGAGCCACAAAAACAAAAAAAAGACAGAAAACACCCCCAAAAAGGACGAGTTTTGGGATCTTGACCAGGCAGGCGCTAACAAATTTATGTCTTCTTCGGGCTTAGAAAAACATGAAAGGTGCTACTAGCTGCGAGGGAGAAGGAAAAGATATAGAAATATACAGAAGGTAAGGGTAAAGGTTAAGGCAAAGGTGGTCTCCGCTTAGCTCATTACACACAATTTGCAGTTAGGTGCGAGCATATAAATTTCTGTGGCAGCCTTATCAAAATTATGTTAACCTTTATCTAAATTATATTTTGTGTTTCATCTGAGGGTGGTTTCTTTACTCCATAAATTGTTTCTTTTGCCGCGGATTTATTTCAAAGTCGGTGTGTAGCTATTTACGATGAGGCGTCCTTAAAGATACTTTCAGTAAACGAATGCACTTTAAATGTCTTAATTGTCGTGAGTTCATGATTTAATATATCGTGATCCACTTAACCGCTTTGATGCAATAACCCGACATTTAATTACGTGGGCGGAGCGGATTCACATTAGCTACGAACATGAGCTAATTATACCATAAAATTTATTCAATTTATCAAAGAACCAACATGGAAAAAAGGCAAACAAAAACCACGCTACAAACGTCAGCATGTCCAATGAAGATACGAGTACTTTTAGCCAGCGGACGAATGGTTTGGTCCCATGATTTGGCAACTTTTTTGTGGCTTTTCACTTCTGAGTGGTGTACGAGTGTGTGGCGTGTGTTATGAGATGATAAATGATAGTTTTGGACAAGTTTCTCGAAGAGGGATGGACGAAATTGAAGTTCTATAACAAAGATGTCAGGGGAATTCGTAGTAAAAAAATGTGTAAAATTAAAAACCCAACTCTTGGTTGAAAATAACTAGGATTTATTAATTTCAAAGGATTTTAAACCCCTGAAATGCTTATATTTTTTTAATAGAGTTTGGTTGGTACCTATTAAAATCACGAAATGAACTTTAGAAAGTCACAAAGTGCTGTGCCAAGTTGCCGGCATTATGAAGCCTGTGTTCTGGGCTGTTTAATTATGGTAATTTGGGGGCACATACACACATCATATACAAAGTAAAGAGCGCTTTTTAACAAGAGCGGAGTGGAGAAATTAATTTCACGACACAGAAATTTGCCAAAGGCCTCTTGGCCCGGCCAACAAGCGAAGCCTACATCACACTTCAACACAATCGGGCAATTTCATCGAAATGGGGACCGATGAAAGGGGTGGGATGGCCCCAATTGCATTTCACGTTTCGCCAGTGAAAATTTCCACCCATCACCGCCCAGTCCATCCAGTCTATAAGTCCACAAGTCCACCAGACCACCAGTTCAGCAGTCCACCAGTCCACCAGCTCACATTCACATCCACATCGGCGATTCTGGGCAGGCATGCATGTTGTGCTGGTGTCTGTTTTGTCTGCATATTGAAAATTTGCATGTTTAAGCATATCCTTGCCAACACTTTCCGAGCTGGACGCAAAATACATGTGCTATATACTTTGTATGCCGTGTATATATGTTTATATAGCCAAGGAGTCGGGCTCAACGTGCCGGAAGTGCTCGCAGTTTAAAGCTTATCGCTGCAATTTAAGTTGGTCCTGCAAAGGATACGCTCTTTGTTAGCTGGCCAAGAAATGTCGATACCCAGGAAAAATTTCTAGGAGAGGTATTAACAATTTAGAAAAATAATGGAGCTCAAAACCAATTTTAGAAATAATTTTCATTTAATTTAAAATTTATATTAAATTGAAAATCCAAACAAACTGCATTTAATTACCGTGTTGTTTCGGAAATTAATCGGAAACAATTAAAATACTTTATTAAGGGGTAACTTTTAAACCCTCTGCTTTGAAATCCCAGCCCACTTAAACGAAAGTAATACCATTGTAAATTAGTTTCGCAATTTCGTGCACGCTGGCCGAATCGTTCAATGAACTTGCCGCAAAAGGAGGTTGTGCTTTGAAAGGTTCATTAGCAGCTGTCAACCGGCTAATGAAGTGCCCAAGCAGAGATCCTTTTAGATATAATCGGGAAAGTATAGAGAGTATATATGTGGGCCAACTGTTGCCGGCAAATGAACTGCCTGCTGATTGATCTACTGAAGTCTTCATCAATATCTTTAGCAGCATCTCGGCATCTCAGGGAAAACTTGACTATTAATAAATGACAAGTCTGCATTAACAAATGCAGCAAGGCCATGAAAAATGTTCATTTCATTTGGGGCCAGATGCAAAAACAGCAGCATCTCACATTTTGGTGTTGACACTTGAGAAATTTGTAGCTCATCTTTTGCCGGCATATCTGGATGGCTGAGAACGGAGACAAAAACTTGCCACTAATTGCAGGCCGAGACACCCAGACAGACACAACTTGAGTGGCACATTTGCACATGCGACCGCCCAGAATGAAATGTATCTTACGGATACGAGCACGAGTACGAATGCCTGGCATCTGCTCCCAAGCTTGTGGCTGTGGGGGCGTCAGCTGCACCAGACTTAATTGCCTTGCTTATTTCGTTATTGGCCGTAATAAGATGTCAACGCTGCGCAAAACGATTTTCCGCAATTTCATAAAGTCGCCAAGTGACGGGGTAAATACATATATGCTGCTCATGATGGATGGTGCTGGCAAAATGTTTTTAGTACTGATTTTATTAGAGAATTTAAAATTATTCTCTGACTATATCCATACTATATTGTTTAATTTCTTTTTACAAAATTTTGTCAACCATTTTAAAAGCTAAAAATACTATATACTTCTTAACACATGTCATCCATTATTTTAAACTATCTTAAAACTTTGTGTGCAACGAATTCTCACATTTATTATCTATATCTTATATCTTTTTTTATATCTACCACACTTTAATGAGCCACGAAGTGATTTTAATACCCACCAGGTAAAAAAAGCTAACATTTTGCATCATAAATTTCCTAGTTTTTTAGTGGCCTTCGCGTTTTTCGTCGCCTTTACACATTTTTACGGCCTGTGAATTATGTGCGACGAAGCATGGAAAATAATAATCAAAATAATCAGCAAGCGAGGGAGCGAAATAAAATTTAATATTAATCAGGTGCGAAATATATCCCAGATCAAAGGAAAATAAATAATTGGGCTAACTATATAAATAGAAACCGGGCGACGAAATTCCGTGCGAACGGCAGCTGCGACGAATGCGAAATGAAAGCGAAGGAGCAAAAAAGAGAGCAGGTTTCTGAGTGAGCTAAAACTTGCGAGCGGCCATTTTGGCGGGGGGGTTAAGCCCGGATGCCTGAGCGAGTGGGACAGAGATAGGCAGG